GGCTTTTTTCTTTTTGCTTATGTGGTGCTGAGGAATGGAACCCAGGGCCTGATGCATGCAAGGCAAGTGCTCTACCACTGAGCCACCTTCCCAGCCCCAGAATATCTCTTTACAGCAATGAATTCAAGTTCTTCTATGCGGAATTAAGGCTGAGACTTCCCCCTTCTCCCTAGTGCGTTGCCTTTTCATCACTGTGTGTCCATCAGAAGTGAAGACTACTGACTTACCATCCGAATACTGGAAGACCACAATGCGACCCTGCTTGGGCTCTGCCTCTTCAGGATACACCATAGCTGTACCCACAATGAAGTATGTATTGGGGTCTTTGCCCAACTTGCAGGAGACCAGGCTGAGAGCATATTCGTTCTGTAGAAACTGGTGTGCATGAAGCACTAGAAGGGGAGAAGACAACTAGTTACTTATGCCTTGCTCCTGTATCCACCCCACCCCTTCAGCCCACACATCCCATGCTGTGGTGAGGCCTATGGGTGAGGCAGTGAAAGGATAAAAGCTGTCCACTTCCCCTGCCTCTTCTGACTGCCCATCCCATCCACCCATCAGCCTATGCAAGGAAGAGCGTACACAACACTCCAGACTCCCTGCAATTCACAGGTGTCCCCCCCACCCTTCTCTGTCAAGCTCTACAACATTCCAGAGCTCAGAACAGCCCCATTCAAAAAGGACAGAAAGACCTTGAGCACCTTCAAAGGTATGCTGGTCAATGATGAGGAGGTTGTGCACCTCCACCTCTTCTCCAAAGGAGGTCTCATGAGGAGCGGTGCTGCTGGAGAACAGCTTGCTGGAACTGACACTACTGGACAGAGCCTGCAGACAGACAAGACAGTAAGTACATCACTCTAACCAAAGCCTAACAGGTGCTGGTATGAGGAGAGTTTGGCCAGAAGGCTGGTGGCTGGCAGAGCAACAGAGCCTGAAAAACAGAGTGTCTCAGAGAATACACTAGAACCAAAGTAAGGAGCCAGGTTCCGAGTGCATTGACATGCTGGTCTAGTCTAATCCTCATCAAAGATAATGCAAACAGTGATATTGTCAGTCAAGCAAGGCTAAAGAGAAACTCAAGCAATGTAATCCAGTGATGGACTCTACCATCAACATGAAACATGAAGACCTTTTTTTTTTTTTGCCCTGGATTCAGGGAGAAGCTTCTATATCAGATGAATTAGGAACAAGAAATACGTAAGTTAGAAGCAAGAAAATAAACAGCTCATGTCTCCACTGAGCTTAAACTATCATTAGAATCTCAAGTTAGACAAAAAAATTCAAAGGTAGGCTTGCCCAACTAAGGTCACAGCACTAGGAATAAACCTCAAAATCAGCTGTCAGACTCTAATCCCATGTTCCTGCCTATTATATGCACAGTGACCAATTACACATGTCCTATAGCATATTCAAACTGATCATGAGAGAAAAGGAATTGGTGACCTCACAAGGTCACCAAGTGGCAATTGCTTCCTATAAATAAAGCTTTACTGGAATCCAGCTATACCCACCTATTGTCTCTGAGGCAAAGATGGGTAGTCAGAACTAAGTCCAAATGGCTGCAAAGTAGGGACTCTTTCCTATCTAAGAAAGCTCACCAGCCCCCACTGCCACCATTCTTTGTCCACTGTCCTCACCTGGGTACTGGCGCTGGGCCTCAGAGCAGTTGTGCCTCCACTCGTGTCTTGGACTTCAATGCGGCTGGAGAGGACCCCGAAGCACTGGGACACCTCCTGATAACAGATCTTCCTGCAGAACAAGTTTGGGCCGACAGCATTGCTCACAATAAGTCACAGGCACCCTCTACCAGCTGCCCCTGGGCTCTCTGGCCTGGCACTCACCTCGGAGACTCATACAGGGGAACTGTTCGAATGTGCAGCTTCTGAATCTCATCAATGGTGCCAATGGTGAGGGTGCTATTGTTGGCCAGTGCCAGGCTGGAAAAAAGGTCTCAGCTTAGAGTGAGTTGACTGAGGAAAGGACTGGATTCTCAGAGGCACTCCACAGGGGAGAAGAAACCCAACAGGCAGAATTACCACCTTTTACTCCAGGGCAGGGTCTTCACACTGACTGCTAAAAATAATTTAGGGAGACCTATTTGAGATACATGGCTCTTCCCCCCACAAAATATTCTTATGGTCTGGCTAGGCCTAGGCTGAGGTAGGTGTGGTGTGTGTGCTTGTGTGTGTGTGCGCGCGTGTACATATGCATATGTATGCCTATGTCCTAAGACTTGACTCTGTTCCTGAGTTTTTTTGCTTAAGGCTAGTACTCTACCTCTTATGTCAACAGCCCCACTTTCCTTTGTTGGTTAACTGGAGATATGAATGTAGTGGACGTTCCTGCCTGGGCAGCTTTGAGCTGATGCTCAGATCTCAGCCTCCTTATTAGCTAAGATTACAGTTGTGAGCCACTGCTTATGCTGAAATTTTTAACAGCTTCACAAACTCATGTGCAATGACATTGAAAATCAAAGGACTGGTGCTCTAAGCAGGACAGTGATTCTTGTTCCAGGTGCTTCAGAGTCAGCGAGAATCATTGGCTGGGCACTGGCCCCATGCCCCTGCAGTGCTGGAGCTGCTGGCTGGAGCCACATTTTGAGAACCTCATTTGAGAACCTCATTTCAGGGGAGCACATAACAACTAAGTGTGGGATTCTAAAGCTCAACTAATAATCCAAATCAGCTGAAGAGTTAAAACCCTGTTGGTCGACAATCTGTTGATGCTACTGAGCTACACCTCCTACCCCAGATACTGTTGTTGTTTTTCTTTTAACAGCTTCCAATATTCCTAGTAGGCAGTCAGGTTTGAGAGTCTCTGCCTTACATTCTCATTGCTGCTAATTACTGATTTTGACACTGGGATAAACAGGGGGAAGGTTTGAAAACCATGATACCCACCATCAGTGACTCTTGCTGAAAATGAAAATAAGCCAGGTACCAGTGGCTCATGCCTATAATCCTAGCTACTCAGGAGGCTGAGAACTGAGGATCACTGTTCATAGCCAGCCTGGGCAAGATTCTTATCTCCAATTAACCACCAGAAAACCAGAAATGGTACTGTGGCTCCAAGTAGTAGAGCACTAGCCTTGAGTGAAAAAGTTCAGAGACAGTACCCAGGCCCTGAGTTCAAGCCCCACGACTGCCAAAAAAAAAGAAAAAAAGAAAAGGAGGCTCACCTGTCAGGATAGCCATCTGAGTTGAGAGGACACATGTAGTTCACCTCCTTGAGGTTGACATTGGAGAAGACCAACTTGTGGTTGCTGCTATAGATGACAGTGGGGCGGTCAGAGCAAGCAAACACGTTGGTGGTAGAGAGAGAACGGAAAGTCCTCAATACTGTGGGCTGCGTGCCCAAGGTCACCTTCTTACGATCACTCAACAAGCCTACACAAAGAATGGTGTCAGGAGAAAGAAGGAAAAAAAAAACAGACCAACAGCTGGGTTATGAAGCAGCATACTGAGGCTGAGAACTCAGCTCAACTCAATACTATTTCAAAGAGTACTTCTTCTTACTTAAACGCTTTCCTCACCTGTGTCAATATTGAGCCCAAAGTAGAATAGGGCACCATCTCCCAAGGCACAAAGTAAGTAGTGGCTACTCTCAAAAGTGGTCATCAGGATGGAACGAGGAATGATCTCTGTGGGCAAGAGAGACATTAAGTTTGTGTTCCGTGTTCAGACTCTGATCCTACCCCAGATGCCATATGATACATACCTCCACCCAGCATCTCCTTGTGCAGCAGTTCAAAAGATGGCAGCTTTAAGATACGGGCTGAGATGTCTGTCCAGAGGCCAATGGCACAAAGTGGGGATAAACCATTGCTATCTCCTAATGGAGTGATGTCTAGGCAGGCCACTTCATGTTCCATCTCTGTGTGGCTGAATTAGGAGGAAGAATATGGCAGAGGAAGAAGTCCAATCAAAATCCAATCCAATCAAAAAAGTCCCAGAGCAGGAAAGGACAAGTAGGCAGATAAGCACACACACCTGATCTGCCGTAGCTCCTGGGGATGGATCTGCAGGTAGTAGAGGGCTCTTCCTACAGCAACCACCACCTGACTGCTGTTGCAGGAGGCTACGCTAATATTCTTGCCCTGGGGCTCCTTCCACTCACTGACCAGAGCTTTGGGCTCTTGAGAGACCAGCCTCACAGATGCTGATGTGATCTAGAGGAAGAGCAGATATTACCAAGCACCTCAAGAATCTATCTAGGAAGGGAAAGGTGCCCTCCTGGAGCCCTAATAAGCCACGTAAGTCCTCTTCTGCCAATACAGTTAGCACCCAGCAGCTATAGGCAACTGGCTCCAGGATCCTCAAAGACCAAAACCCATGGATGCCCAAGCCCTCATATAAAACAGTATATATTTATATATATAATCTACCCGTATAAGTCTTCTCTTTACTACTTATAGTACTTAAAACAATGTAAATGTTATATAGGTATTTTTGTACTATTAACATAAAAGAATGACAAGAAAAAGAGCTGTACATGTACAAAGCATAGACATGATTTTTCCCCCAAAATATCTTCAATCAAACTTGAATTCATGAATGAGGAATCCATGTAAATAAGGAGTCAACTACATACTTTTACCATGATTGTTAAAATAAGCATCATTTTTAACTGATGAAGATTACTGAAGCTTACTGCTTCCATACCTTTGGGAGTGGAGAAGGACTGTACAGAACTCCTATTTCCTTCTAATTGAGGCTGAGTGGGGCAATTCAAACTGTATCTTATGGAACCTATCAATAAGAGTATTAAGACCACCAATCTACCATGTTTTCTGAACCCTAAAAACACATCTCTTAAATAGATCTATGTTCTTTGCTATAAGCCATTAAGTACTTACTAAAAGTGGCAAAACTGTGATGTTTTATTTTGGTGCTGAGGTTGGAACCTTAGGGACTCATGCATGCTATAATAAGCACACATAACCACTGAGTTACATCCATAATTCCTGAAATATGTGCTAAAAGTTTATCACTAAAATAAAACAAAAAATTAGTTCATATCACTGCTACTGATTCACCTTACTCATCAGGACTGAGTTATGAAAGCTTTTTAATGACAGTGAGGTGACCTGGTGCCGCTGCTCAGAACAATGTTCAGATAACACTGACAAAGCAAGAACTCAGCATCTGGGCTCATCCCACAAACAGGACTTATCCTCTGGCTTTTTACCAATCTACCACTGTCAGGTGGTGGCTAAGAGATGGCCAGTGGATGAAAAAGATAGAAAAGCCCATTAATCCTGGTGCCTGGCCCACCACTGGGAAGACTTTGGCTCTGGCCTCAGAGCAAAGAATAGCAGAGGAGGAAAGGAATGCAGAAAAACTGCAGGGCATCAGGTACTCCAACTTAGAAAGATCTATGGAGTGAAGAGGAGAGGACACATAGAAATCAAACTCTGTGGATCATAAAAGCCAAAGACTGCTCACACACCACAGAAAGATATCAAGTAAGGATTGTCACAGAGTAAGAGCTCTGATTATAGCTAATAGGTACAAAGTGCTGCCAATACTCACAGCCTTATGACTAATTTTTTGTGCTCTTTAGTACTTTCAAATTTTTACAAATGGACATATATCAATGTTATACTGAGGAGGAAAACTTCAGAAGATTATAATTAGTGTGAAAATAAGACTGAAGACTGTTGGCTCATACCTATAATTCTTAACTACTCAGGAGGCTGAGATCTAGGATCACCATTCAAAGCTAGCCCAGGCAGGAAAGCCTGTAAGACTCTTATCTCCAATTAACCACCAGAACAGGAAGTGGTACCTTGGCTCCAAGCGGGAGAGTGCTAGCCTTGAGCAAAAGAGCCCAGGGACAGTATCCAGTCCCTGAGTTTAAACTCCACAACTGACCAATAAGGAGAAAAAAAAGAAAAAAGAAAATAAGATCCAAATTTTATATATATAATACCAGGTGTTGGTGACTCATGCCTGCAATCCTAGCTACTCAGGAGGCTGAGATCTGAGGATTGTGGTTCAAAGCGAGCCTGGGCAGGAAAGTCCGTGAAACTCTTATCTCCAATTAACTACCAGAAAACTGGAAGTAGCACTGTGGCTCCAGTGGTAGTGTGTTGGCCTTGGGCTAAAGAGCTGAGGGAGAGCACCCAGGCCCAGAGTTCAAACTCCATGACTGACCAAAAAATAAACAAATTTTTTAAAACATATATATGTATTATATGTAATTTATATTATGTAATACAGTATATATTTACATATAACAGTCCTAGTTATAAAAGAAAATGTGAATAAATATATTTGTATATTTATAGAGAAAAAGTAAAGTTAAAGAATCAACTGCAAAGTTATGAGTTGTTACCTATAAGAGGGTAATTTAATTTGTTTCCCTGGAGTGGAAGTCTGTCTTCAGTGGTACACCACATGCCTAGCAAGCACAAAGCCCTGAGCTCAAACCTCAGTTATGGCCTCTATGAATGAACTTTTTTTCACCCTAAAATTTCTAATCTCAGTGGCATAAAAACTGACTGGTTTAAAAATCCAGTAGCACTGTCTACTACATTCTAGGTCAAATTCAAGTAAATGGTCAAGTGTGCCTAGTTCTCATCCATTACCTGTATAAGTTGCTGATGAGCCACATTTCCACAGAAGAAAGTCTGCTGATCATCAACAAAACCCATCAGTTCAGTTTCCTCCACTTCCTCTCCATTTAGCATGAGGACTCTGAAGCAAGAGGAAGGCCTAAGTTAGCCTGGGGCCAGTTTCTCTACCCCTTCTCCTTCACCCCACACTTACAGCTGACACCTAATCCATTTTTACCTGGTCTGGCCCACAAAAGAGAGCACCAAAGTGTCATCCGTCTCACGGCTAGGGTCAGATCGCAGTGGCCATAAGCCTGGAACAAGGAACATTGATGAAGAAGAGGCATCTGAGACACCAACACTAAGCATGTGCAATCCATGCCATTGAAAAACAGGAACTTTGGAGTTCAAGTCCTAAGCTAAATCCCTCCCTATCCCTTCCTGGCTTTAAAACTCTGAAGAAGCTAGAGATTTTAAGAATGCTTTAAACCTAATATTCTACACTGTTATTTTGATTTTCAATATACTTCCATGACTCAAACGTTAATTCTATTGGATGGGAGATGTAGCAGACAACTTGACTAGAATATGGAAGGCTCTGGGTTCAATCTTATTTTTAAAAAGTACACAGGGGGGGCTGAGAAGTTGGCTCAGTGGTGGAGCACTTGCCTTGCATGCCTGAGGTCCTGGGTTCGATTCCTCAGCACCACATAAGCAAAAAGAAAAAAGCCGAAAGTGGTGCTGTGGCTCAAGAGCGCTAGTCTTAAGCTGAAGGGCTGAGAGACAGCGCCCAAGTCCAGAGTTCAGGCCCCACGACCGGACCCAAAAAAAAAAAAAAAAGTACACAGGGGGGGCTAGGAAGGTGGCTCAATGGTAGAGCGCTTGCCTTGCATGCATGAGGCCCTGGGTTCCATTCCTCAGCACCACATAAACAAAAAGAAAAAAGCCGGAAGTGGCACTGTGGCTCAAGTGGTAGAGCACTAGCCTTGAGTTGAAGAGCTGAGGGACAGCACCCAGGCCCAGAGTTCAGGTCCCATGACCGGACCCAAAATAAATGAATAAATAAATAGTACGCAGAGAAGGAAGGTTAACATTGTCCAAAGAGCAATGTACTCATTACCTAAAACTCATTATGAAACAGTAACAACTCTATATAATCACCCTTACAATAACACTTTAAAAATTTTAAAGGCTGGGAAAGTGGCTTAATGGTAGAGTGCTTGCTTAGCGTGCATGAAACCCTGGGTTCAATTCCTCAGCACCACATAAACAGAAAAAGCTGGAAGTAGCCCTATGGCTCAGGTGGTAGAGTTCTAGTGTTGACCAAAAAGAAGCTCATGGACAGCGCCCAGGCCCAGAGTTCAGGCTCATGACCAACCAAAAAAAAAAGGACACAAAGGCCAGAGGTCGGTAGCTCATGTTGTAATCCTAGCTACTCAGGATGCTGAGATCTGAGGATTGTAGTACAAAGCCAGCCCAGGAAAGAAAATCCACGAGACTCTTATCTCTACTTAACCAACAAAAATCTGAAAATGGAGCTGTGCTCAAGTGGTAGAGCACTTGTCTTGAGAACAAAAGCTCAGGGAGTGCTCAGGCCCTGAATTCAAGCCCTAGGAATGACACACACACACACACACACACACACACACACACTACACACACTACACACACACACACACACACTACACATGAGGCAAGTACCAGCAGCTCACATATGTAATCCTAGCTACTCAGGAGGCTGCAAGCTAAGGATCGCAGTTTTAAGTTAACCCAAACAGAAAAGTCCATGAGACTCTTATCTCCACTTAACCACTAAAAAGCCAGATGTGGAGCTGTGGCTCAAGTGATAGAGTGCTAAACTAGAGCAAAAAAGCTCAGGGGCTGTGCTTAAGCACTAATATCAAGCCCTAGGATAGGTATCCCACCCCCCACAAAACACACTGGGAAGGTGGCTCAGTGGTAGAGCACTTGCCTTGCATGCTCAAGGCCCTGGGTTCGATTCCTCAGCACCACATAAGCAAAAAGAAAAAAAAGCCGGAAGTGGCGCTGTGGCTCAAGTGGTAGAGCGCTAGCCTTGAGCTGAAGAGCTGAGGGACAGCACCCAGGCCCGGAGTTCAGGCCCCACGACCAGACCCCCCCCAACAAAAAAAGAAAAAGAAATTTTAGACTAGCTATTAACTAATCCAGTAGATAGGTGTTTTGTTATTTTTTGTTTAATGGTACTAGAGATGAAAAGCAAGATCTTGTGAATGCTAAACAAGTACTCTACCAGTGATCTACAACCCTGACACAACTAACTGGTCTTGCTATATTGTTGAGGCTGGTCTCAACCTAAACTCCAGCGATCCCCCTGCCTCAGCTTCCTAATTGCTGGACTACAGACACCTGTTAATTTTTTTTTAACTCTCACTCTTTTGGTATACTGGCACTCACACAATGGGGCAATATTTCATGTGCATTCTCCCCATTTTCTCTCCTAAACTGGCTTTTTCTAATGAAAGATTTTATGCTTTTTTCTTTTTTGTGCAGGTACTGGGACTTGAACTCAGGGTCTCACACTCTCACTTAGCTTTTTCATATAATGATTATCTGCTACTTGAGCCATACCTCTACTTCTGAATTTTTGCTGATTGCCTGGAGGTTAAGAGTCTCACAGACTTTCTTGCCCAGGCTGGCCTTGAAACATGATTCTCAGATCTCAGCCTCCTAAGTAGCTAGGATTATAGGAGTGAGCTATCAATGCCCAGCAGCTTTTATTTATTTGTATGTTGGATTTTTATTTTTTGGTGGTAGGTACTCTCTACTGCTGAGCCACAAGCTTTTGCTTCTTTCTCCATGTCTCAACTCTTTTTCTGTAGCTTAATTTTCCCCATTATTAATAATATTACTTAAAAGAATCAATTTTCTCTTAGGAGCTTTAGAACTTCTCAACTGGGTAAGGGAGGTAGCATAGTATAGGGGAAATAGTATAAGAAAAGGACTGATGAGACCTTGAAGCTAGCCCAGGTTTTGCTGTTTACAGGTAGGCATGGGCAAGTCCTACTGGCCTGTTTCCTCATCTGTGAAAGTCATCAGATGAGGTAAGCTCTAATGAGCCCGTTCAGTTTTTGTTTTTTTTTAATTGTTAAAATACCGACAGAGGGGTTACAATTACATGGGCAAGATAATGAGTACATTTCTTATCAAGCATTGTTGCCTCCTCCTTTGTTTCCCCTTCCCATCTCTCCCTGCCCCCCTTCAGTTTTTTTAAATGTTATACCTAATAATAAAATGACACTCATCTCCATACACCCCTTTACAAATCCATGTCAGTGTCTTACAGTTGATCCTGGCACCTCAAATAAAAGCAATATTATGCTTTTGGGAAAAGTAGCAAAAACAGAAATCCTAAGGCAAAAATGGAAAAGGCAAAAGCAAGCCATTTCTAGAGAGACAGAGAGAAAAACTGCACAAGCCTGACATTACCAAGCTCTGGGCACTGAAAGGAAAAGCAGAGATGGTAAGAAAGGGACTGGCTCAGACCTGAGGGAGGCAAATTCCCTAAAATCCAACTAACCTGCAATCACCATGGAAGCCTCAGCTTCTACATTTTCCTGTTTCCAAGGGCCTTTATTGAATTCCTTTTCTCGAAGAGACACCTCATAGGTTTTTACATGCCGCCCCTGAGGGTCCTGGAAGGAAAAAGTGGGATGGTTAGCCCTTAAGATGACTTAGGCTAAAGGAATCAGGAAAGGGACAAGCCACACCTCCCAGGATGACTGTCCTGTCAAGTCAATCTTTCTGCTCCTTATCTATCAGGATACTGACAGTCACCTGCTGAGCAAGGGATTAATTTCTAAGTAGACTGCCATCATCTGAGATCTACTGCCTCTAAGAATTCAACCAACCAGAAAGGTTTAAATAGAAAAATAAATCTGTCACACTGCACTACCCACTATAAGAAACACAGTGTGCATGTGTTTGTTCCTCACCCTCAAGGAACTTTGAAAATAGCTAGAGAGAAAAACACACTGAGAAGTTAAATCTTAGAGATTTTTAAAAATTGTTGGACACAATTCTTAAAAGCATTCTGAAGGGGTAAAGGTAGGGAGAAGAGAACTTATCGCTCCTGTTACAGTAGTCAAAACCCTTCAGTCCTGCCACTGACACCACCATCTTCCTCTCCTTTTTCTGAATCGTGACTCTTCCCCTCCTTTTTTGGAACCATGACTCACGTCAGTCCTGGGGCTGCCAAAGTCACCTTTTAGAGGCTAAAGAACAGGCACAGGGAGAAGACTACATTCAGCGAATGGAAGATGGCTTCAACAAAGCCCAGATCAGAATCTACATAATGATGGAAGGAATTCAACAATGTGTTTCAGGGCAGTGACCACATCTCAATCACTGTGACAGCTCCTGATGCACTTAGCTTGAGTACCTTTCACCTGGGAGGTAACTAAATGTTCATCTTATTGAAAGACAGTCACTTCACTTAAAGCTGATAAAAAGATATCACCACCAATGAGGAAAGACCCATCTTCACAAAAAGTTCAAGTGAAGGTAGATTTGGGCCTCCATTATACACTCACAGAAATGAAGAATGTTCATAACTAGCAGCCCTAAGCTGGGAACAGACAGTGCCTGCCTAGCCAATAGCAGTGTTTTCATGATCTAATAGTTAAACTGATAAAAGGAGAGAAATCCAAAGTTTTTTTTCGGCTCTGATAGCTAACAAGATCTAATCTCCTAAATTAATTACAATTTCATTCAAATGACCCTTATTCCAACCAGCCTCAGGACTACAGCACTTGCGGTAACCTGGAGAAACATACAAAGATTTCCAAAACCTTACACAGCGTGTAGAAGTGTTTATATGCCCACACGTTCTACCACTCTACAGAGAACTGGGCCATTATTTCCTTCCATCATTTATTCAACCACGTGCAAGGGAGATGACTGCACGCTGCCCAACCTTTTGTTAAGATTTTACCAATTGTACAACTACTTAAAATTAAATTTAAAAAAAAAAAAAAGAAGATTCTACCAAGGTAGTGGCATGTCCTCAGCTACATAGCCCCACCCCAACCCTTAGCAGATTTGGACCAGAGAACAGCTGCCCAGGATCAGCAATGCTAAAACTTCAGGCACAGACTAAAATAGAAGTCAAGAGCCAGCAAATCACCAGAAAGTGAGTGCTAGACAAATTGCAAGCCTCACTTCTTTTTAGGAGAAACAAACAGAGCATTGCCAAGACATTTTCTCTTTGCTTGTAAAGGCAAGTTCTAGATCGTTTCTCTACAGCTAAGTGTTTATAATCCCAGAGCATGCTAGTGAGAGACTTAGACAAAGTATAAACTGGGTCACCTATATAAAATCTCCAGGGCCTGCAATCAGAGTGTAATCTCAGGATTAAAACCCGCTACAAATCCAAGCAAGCTTGCTGTCTCCACAATAACCTCTACTGCACTTGAGAGCAGCCAAAATCTGACCCAGATTAATTGTTGTTTAAAATATTTTAGGACACACACATTCCTACTACCACACCATCAAATGAAAAAACCCACTCCCACCATCCCAAATCATACTTTCTCCTCTCCTCCAGATCCAGTACCTGGTAGACAAAGCATATGGTAGGCGCTTGACAACCATACAAGAACTTGACATCGATGACATGCAATTCCTCCAGGCGGATGTTAAATGCCTTGAGCTCTTTATTGTCACGGTCCAGTGGAATAACTTTGAAAAGACCATCATAGAGTCGCAGGCCAATCATCCGGCACTCAGGGTCAATGATGCCAATAATGCCAGTTTCTGAGGGGCGGCCAATACGATCCTAAGAAACAAAACTCAAATTAGGAAAGAACCTCAATCTCAACCCAGTAACAGAGGACAAGTGGCACCACTTTCTCAGGCCAATTCTGTAAGTAGTAAAACCTATAACCTCTACATGACAAGCCAGGAAACCTACTTGTCAGTACATTCTTTTTTTTGCTCTAACAATGGAATCATAAGTATATCGCTTGCCTCTTGGACTATCTGAATGGCTCAGACCATTATTGTCAGACCCTGGCCCTTCAATATTCTTGGTTGAACCACAATAGTCCTACCTGGAAAACTCTGATCAGCCTTAAGTAACACCTCACCTGGACATTGCCATGGGCTCGTGTAATGATATCAATGCTCTCTCCACTCTGCTTATACTCCAAGATGCAGGCATTATACTTAGCTGTCAAGATAAACAGCAGATCCTTGCTCTCCCCCTGGAAATCAAAAGAGGTTCTTTCAAAAACAAGAACAACCTGTCCAGCCTTTAAACATCATTCTTTAAGCATGCAAAGCTCTTTAAGACTTTCCAAATTTCTCCCTAAAGAGAAATACATGGTTGCGTGTACTAGGTATATACCCTAAGGGTATGTACAAAAGGCCAGAACTGCAGCTGGAAAACATCTAGTCCTCATTATCATGATTCTCCATCTCTCTGCTGGATTTACTTGTCTTCATCTATGTTGATCCCAGGCTAATCTCAATCATTCCATTCAAATTCTGAAAAATGAATGCAATGTACCCACTAATCTCCAAGTACTTGAAAGAAAAAAAATATGGTAATTACAATGAAAGCTAAAATGAACCTGCAATTTCTCAACACTGACCTCAAAAACATGAGTGGTTTGGTCAAAGCCTTGAACCCACTGTTTTCTGGTCAGATTCAGTTAAGATATAATGGAGCAATGTGGTGGATAAAAACAATTACAAAAAGGACTGAAATTTCACTCATATTAATACTTCTTGTTAATGTGCTAGACCATGTGTAGTTGAATCATTTCATCTTCTAGGTTATCCAGAGGATTAGTTTTTATCAGTTATTCCTACTCACAAACAGGAAATATTAGCCAGGCACCAGTGGTTCATACTTGTAATCCTAGCTACTCAGGAATCTGAGACCTGAGAATCACAATTTGAAGCCATCTCTGGCTGGAAAGTCCAAGCCTCTTATCTCCAATTAGCTACCAAAAAAGCCAGAAGTAAAGATGTGGCTCAAGTGGTAGCACCCCAGCCTTGAGCTCAAAAGCTAAAGAACAGGGGCTGGGAAGGTGGCTCAGTGGTAGAATGCTTGCCTTGCATGCATGAGGCCCTGGGTTCAATCCCTTAGCACTACATAAGGAAAAAGAAAAAAGCCGGAAGTGGCGCTGTGGCTCAAGTGGTAGAGCGCTAGCCTTGAGCTGAAGAGCTGAGGGACAGCGCCCTGGCCCAGAGTTCAGGCCCTACGACCGGACCCAAAAAAAAAAAAAAAAAAAACCACACACACACAAACAGTACACACAGAAATCTCAAGCCCCAACACTTCTACCTCCAACCCATCATCTAAATAATTAGTAAGCCCCAACACTTCTACCTCCAACCTATCATCTAAATAAATAGTAAGTATTTTGTTCCACCATTTTGGGTTTTGTTTTGGGGGAGTAATTTAAGGAACTAAATATTGTATTACAAGCAAATAGCAAACAAACAGTCTATTATAATGACTGTTCTACACCTTACTTTTTCACTCAACAACTCATGTTGGACCCCTTATCAGAATATGACATTTCCTTGTCTGTACCTTCACAGTACAATTATGCAGACTCATTAGGAAGCATCCTCCTTCAATTTTTTACTATTTTTCTGTACATCCAATACTGGTAGAGATAAGCTTGTACTTGTATCTCTATGCATATGAAGGTCAAAGGTGGAATAGACACCATGTAAGGCTGCTGGCCTTACATGGAAAGCAACATTTGATGTTGCCAAATTCCCGTCAACAAAGAGAGGGTACTTGTTAGCTTACAAACAAGTGCTCTCAACTTTGGGATCTGGATCAGCTAGTGAAGAATGGTATTTTTGCCAGTAAAGAATGGTATAACTGCCGGGCGCTGGTGGCTCACGCCTGTAATCCTAGCTACTCAGGAGGCTGAGATCTGAGGATCACGGTTCAAAGCCAGCCCGGGAAAGGAAAGTCCATGAGATTCCTATCTCAAGGTAACTGCCAGAAAACCAGAAGTGGCACTGTGGTTCAAATGGTAGAGCCTTGAGCTGAAGAGCTCAGGGATAGTGCCTAGGCCCAGAGTTCAAGCCCCACGACCGACAAAAAAAAAAGTATGGTGGGCACCTGGCCCAACCTGACTTCACAAGGCAGGGGTATGTACAACCCACTCCAGTGTGCCTTCTCTATAAACACACCCTCCCACACATATGTTTTTTAATTTTTGGGACAGGATCTAGCTATGTAGTTCAAATTAGCTTGAACTCATGATCCTCCTGCCTTAGCCTCTTTAGTATAGGTAGATGTATACTTTTAAAAGCAGCAGCAGGGCTGGGAAGGTGGCTCAGTGGTAAGAGCTCTTGCTTTGTATGCATGAGGCCCTGGGTTCGATTCCCCAGCACCACATAAGCAAAAAGGAAAAAAGCCGGAAGTGGCGCTGTGGCTCAAGTGGTAGAGCGCTAGCCTTGAGCTGAAGAGCTGAGGGACAGCGCCCAGGCCCAGAGTTCAGGCCCCACGACTGGACCCAAAAAAAAAAGAAAGCTAAAGAACAGCACCGAGCCTTAAGCTTAAGCCCCAACACCAAAACAATAAACAAAAACAAAAGCAAAAAACAAACGGGGGAGGGGAAATCAACAATTACAGTAACACCTAAAGTGAGAATTAATAATGAAGCTAGGTTCACTCCACTTTACAGCCTACTCTCTCAATCATTAAGCAATAGACCCATATTACAAACTGCTTTAACTTCTCCTTTCCTAAAGAAACCAAACTTGATAAACTTTTCCCAATGAATCTGTCCTACTTCTATGAAGCTTGTTTAATTAGCATGTGCACTGAAATTTGACATTTATAATATATGAAAACAGTTTACAACTCACACAGATCTTTCACTGCTTGTCTCCACTCGGAACACTTACCTTGGGCCTGAAAAGCTCCATGACTGCAATCTTCCCATACATGCCCACCTCTTTGACTGGCCGAAGCCCCTCTGCAGTGACCACATAGATCTCTAATCTTGTGTTTTTGGCAATCAACAGATTCAAGTCTTCTGCTGAAGTAAAATGTCCTGAAAGAGCAGATCCTCTAACTGTTGAAGCAGCAGAAAAGGCCTCCCAAGTCCTTCTCAATAATCTCATCACTGACTACCAAAATTCTCACTTATTTCACATATTTGACTAACCTCCCTCCACCTTCTTGTCAAACCCAGCATCTCTAAGAATCCCACTTCACACATTCAACAAAACTGCTTTCCTCTGCAAAATGAGAAAACTGGGCCGTACATGTAAGAAGAGTGTGTCCTTTGAAGGGATAGTGATTTCTTTTAACCCTCCGGATGACTATTAAATTTAACTTTCCTATCAGGGTGGCAGACTAATTGAAGCTGCTGGAGTTCTCATCTAAAACCCTCACAAAACTTTCATGGAGAATAGGTAAGATGAAGAAAATTCCCAACGCTTTCTGCATTTTTGCCACACCCCTTGTCCTACCCAAGCAATCTACCAAAACCACTCGTAGCTCCTCTGGCAGCTCTCAGAACTTGTATTCTGGAATTAAAGTTATCTTTTATTATAAACATCCAACTATGAGATCTGCGTATATAAATCTACACGTTTGAGAGTTCAAGATGAATATTCTCCAACTGGAGACCTTGATATCCTTGAGGATTGTTGCACACACAATAAACAAATCCAGCAGAGGGTAGAGTCAACCAATTCTCCCCCCCAACACTCTCTCTCTCTCTCTCTCTCTCTCTCTCTCTCTCTCTCTCTCAGCGCCCTCCAAGTAAACAACAGAGCCCCAGGCAAAAGGGTGGGTCTCAACAGTGCTCCACTTCCCTCCTTTTGGCGAGTGAGGAAAGGGCTCACTATATAACCAATACACCATCTCCCGAGCCCCCTAGATTCCCCACGGGAAATTTTTATCCTCAAAGTCGCCATCACTGCCGCCCTTCCCCCTGCTCCACCCCCGCCCCCCGCCTGACCACACGAGGACAGTCTAGAGACACAAACAACTCCAGACTTCGCTGTCCGTCCCCGTGGGCCCAGCCTCATCCTCGAAGACCGAGTGACCTCGGAGGACGAAAGGGGGCTCAGACCCTCGACAGCAGCTTCTTAGGCCCAAAGGGCGCGTGTTGAGTGAAACAGCAACTCGGAGGTCCGGAGAGGCCGAGAGAAGTTCCGCGGCCGCCAGCGCCTTCCATTCCCGGGGCCCGGTCCTGCCCGCTCACCCCCACCCTTAGCCCGGGGCCGCGGGCCTCCCTAGGCCTCGGTTCCCACAGGCTCCCTCCTCCAACAGGGTCGCCTCAGGCCCTGGCAGCCTCACCGGTCACGCAGCCGTTCACGGCGGTGGGTTTCTGTGCCGTTACCACATAGTTGTACGACATGTTGAGGTTTGGGGCGGCCCGTCAGGAGCGGAGCAGAGAGCGACAACAGAGACCGACACAAGCTGAGAGACGGCGAGCCCCCACCCGCACGCAGCCAACTCCACTGCCGCTGCCTCCGCCCCAGAGACAGACACGTTGCAGGCCAGAGCGGCCGCGGTGCAGGGCATGCCGGGACGCTCACTCCCCGCCTCTTGGAGGACTCACGGTGGCAGAGACAGCCAATCAAAGGAAGGATCCTCCCCCTGAGGTCCCGCCTCTGTATTTTACCGCCGGAACCTGGAATACCCGGATGAGGGCGAGCTGTTGGAGGGCTTCGTGCGAAGCCGCGAGTGTGGCGGAGTTGGCCGAGGTGTCTGAGGCGGGAAGGCGGGATGGTGACACCGACGTGCGCTACGCGCCCTCAGAGCGTTGGCCGGTGGCCCCCAAACCCTTCCGAACACCCAGTCCCCTTCCATTGTTCCTGGCGCCTTTGAGTCAGTTCCCTTCAGCGGGGCCGGGGGTGGGGGGGAGGAAATGCCTGCAGAGGCCTACAGCGGGGTGGCCGGCCTCGGCGCCCCAGCCGGGCTGGAGCCGCGCCACCCTGCCCTCACCTCTTCTTCCACATCCAGCCGGTGCCCTCTCCTGGCGTTAGCATAGCCACCTCGCCTCACCTGCGGGCCGGGATGCCCACCTGCTTTATTCTGCAGATGTGGAAGGGCGCAGGAAATCGCTTGCCCGGCATTATCTATGCTCGCCATGCCGGACAAATCCTGAACTTCAACAAAGCCGGAACTCTGCAGCAAGAACCTTAATGACCCAGGAAGGCATGGCTGTCAGATGTGTCACCTAGGCCGCTTCAGACAGATTATCCCGGGGAGCAGGAGAGTGGCGGGGACTAGCCCAGATGAGAACTGAGGTTTACAGGAGAATCTGTTTATCTAAGACTCCCTCCAGTAAGTTGAGATAGAGATACAAAGCCAGGGGGATTGGTGAGTGTGAGTATGAGTGTGCCATGCACATTCACACAGTGACCCCCAACACTCATTTGGTAGAACAGAGCAGTTTGACTTAAACCTCCGATTTCCCACTTTAGGGTCTCTGCTTACCTGGCTTTAGAGCTCTGCCATCGATAGAAAGGATACAGGTGTTTTGCAGAGAGACTAGACATATTTTTTGCTGGGGCTGGGAAGGTGGTTCAGTGGTAGCGCGCTTGCCTTGCATGCATGAACCCTGGGTTCGATTCCTCAGTACCACATAAGCAGAAAAAAAAAGCCGGAAGTAGTGCTGTGGCTCAAGTGGTAGAGCGCTAGCCTTGAGCTGAAGAGCTGAGGGACAACGCCCAGGCCCAGAGTTCAGGCCCCATGACCGGACCCCTCACCCCCCCAAAAAAGACTTTTTTTTTGCTTTGTAGTGTGTGTGTATGTGCTGGTACTGGGGCTTGAACTCAGCACATGGACATAATCCTTCAGTTTTTTTTTTTTTCCTCAGTGCTGGCCCTCTACCATTTGAGCCACAGCTCCACTTCTGACTGGCTTCAAACTGTAATCCTTAGATCTCAGCCTCCTGAGTAGCTAGGATTACAGGCCTGAGCCACTGACACCCAGACATTGGTTTGGTTCCCAGACAAGGGTTTAAGTCCTGACACTTACAAATATGACTTTGGACAAGTCACTAGACCTCTCTTTCCTAGAAGTAAAATGAAGTCATAAATAGCTAACTCAGTTCTGGTGAGGTGCCAAGGCCAACGGGAGAGGATGTATAAAGAAGATCTTTGCAAGTTTTCCACCCTAAAAGCTGATGTTACTTGTGTAACTTTGTTCCTTGATTATGAGGTGGGTGCTGCTCCTTAGCATAAAGACAGCTCTATGCCCACGTGGATCGATCTATCATGTCGCAACCAAGTGTGAGGATGAACCTTGATCAGCCCCATGCTGGTCTCCATCCTAAACCCATGTACTAGAGTTTGGACTTGGATCAAAGTCTGAGGCAGCTCCTTAATGACTAAGGCACTGAAGGCATGATTGTGCCAGTTGGCTGTGGGTGTCAGTTGGCATTAGTAGTTCCTGTCTTTACTACCCCTGCAGGTGCTGCCACTGTCTCCTCTGTGCTCACACCCTGGTAGCACCCTCAGGATTGTGCACCCTACAGCAGCTCAGTGCAGAAGTGTGAACTTGGCCTTCTTCAGAGGTTCCTCACCATGGTGAGTCCTAAGAGAACCGGAAAGAGGGAGGACTGTGGTCTTGAAGCGGTGGGTATCCCAGCCCTGGACACACTGGGCTTTCTTATGCCCTGACTGGGGAGATGCTGCCACCTCTTGAGGTTTAAAGACATCCTCTCTCAGGGACTGATCCCTGCTTCCCTCCCTTTCCTATAGGCCACAGATCCCACTCAGCGTCCCTCTAAAACCCCTTTGCCTGGGTCTTGGATATCCATTGAGATTAGAATATTCATAGTTATTTGCTTTTAAAGCCACTGTACCAGTTACAGAAGGAACCAGGAAGAACAATCTGTTCTTGAGACTGGGGCATGTGTGTGGTCTGAGACCACAGTAGAGCTGAGACCTACAGTAGGAGCTCACCATGTCCCTATGGCTTTGCTCCAGACCTGCTCTAAAACTGATCTGAACAAAAGCAAACCTTGAACAGATCTAGATTCAGATTTCAGTGTGATATTCACCATCTGTGTGACCTTTTCAAGGAAGCATGACCTCTCTGAGCCTCTTTTCCTTCATCTGCAATGTGGTAGATGAAGGCGTCTACCAAGTGTTTGTGAAGTGTTAGAACAGAATCCCTCCCATAGTGCCTGACTTCCTTTCCTTTTCCATACCCTTAGGTTACTGGTTTCCAGGAATGGCATTAGTCCTCAAGCAAAGCCATCTCTGGCTCTGGTGGCTGAGAATCTTAGGCAAGACAGAATCTTAGAGGGTGGTAGTACTGGTGGATGGGCTTGGAGTTAACATAACTTGCAACCTCATTGTATAAGCCACCATGGTAGACTCTTAAGATCCACATTCTATGAATGCCCTGCTTAGATCAATACTCTGCCATCCTGCAGCTCTCTTCAATTATCAGAACATGAGGAGGCTAGAACAGAATCAGGCAAACTCATACACTTGCTGGCTATGTGACTATGGGAACAGTCACTTAACTGTGCCTCCCTCTGCTCCTGGGGCTAATATTTCTTCCATAGAGTTGTTGGAAAGTGAATTGAGACATACTTAAGAGTACTTAGTGTCTGCCTGGCAAATGCAGCCAGTTTTCTTACTCTGCTTGCAAGAAGATCTGGGATACTCTCCTCATCCGTAAGCAGATGTGTCCCCGTCCCCTACTGGGCAGAAGAAAGATTGTCAGAGAGACAAAGGAGTCAAATTCAACTGCTCAGGAAAGCACTGAGGCAGACAGTAACTTGCTAGGACCTGGCTCAACTGCAGGCCACTAGGTGGCGCAGGCCAAGACTTGGCTCAGCTGCGCGCCACTAGGTGGCGCTTGACCTCTTAATCAACAGATCTCACTGTCTCCTAGGACAAAGACAGGCTACATTCTTAGCCTTAGCACCCATGTTTATCTGGCTTCAACTTTCCAAAGCCTGTTTAAAAAAGTAGGTTTTGTTTTTTTTTAATGGAGTGGCTTTTATATTATAGGTACAAGCTCTACTGTTATAATTCCCTGTTTTACAAAGCAAGAATTGACCTCAGAGCAGTAGTGTATCTTCAGTGAGTATCTTCAGCTTATGAGAGGCAGGAGTGGGTCTTGAACTCAAGTCCATGATTTATAGAGCTGAGCTCTCTAGCTTCCATGCAGCTCCTCTCTACCTGCATCTCTGTATCGTGTCTGAATGTAACAGGACTGCTCTAGTTCTCTGGCAGTCTGCTCTACTCTCTGTTCCATATTTCCTCCTGTAGCTAGTGAGGCCCAGCCCCTGGTTGCTCAGGTCACACTCACTTGTCCTCTGGACCCACCTTACTGCTTCAACCTCCAGTGGCTTAGGTTCTCTTCTGCCTAGAATGTCCTCATCCTGCTCCATAATCTGCTTCCTTTTGCCTGCTTAGCACCTACTCATACTTCACAAAAACTTTTAGGGTTCCTTCAGAAAGAAGAAATCGCCTCCTCTGTACCTCCAAGGCACATATATGCTTCTCTCATGTAGCCCATGGAAATGATTTTTGTGTTTTCAGAGGGGGCAGGAATAGCATTCCTGTTTGTGTGTACACTGGGCCTGGCCATCAGGACCTTGTATTGGAGGCCCAGCTGCAGCATGGGGGGCGGGGGGGAAGCTGTGTAGCCCCTTTGCCTGGCTCAAGAACCTCAGCTGAGACACAGGTCCCAATTCCATTAGTATTTACACTGAGTACTCTAACTTCCCCCATGTTCTTTGTATTGAAACTATTTTGAGGGTTAGACTAAAACCATGGGGTAAAAGGTTTATAAATTAAGCATTGAATTTAAAAAGTCACAAACTAAGTTCAGTGCTGGTGGCTCATACCTGGAATCTTATATACTCAGGAGGCTAAAATCCATGTTCAAAGCCAATCTGGGCAGACAAATCCAATAGACTTATCTCCAATTTAACCTGCAAAAAGCTGGAAGTGGAGGTGTGGCTCAAGTGGTAAAGTGCCAGCCTTGAGCAATAAAACTAAGGGATACCATCTTGACTTTGAGATTAAGCCATAATCCTGGAACACACAAAAAAAAGTAAAGTTATAGAAACATTCACAGGTAAATGTAGCCCAATGCAAGGCACTGCTTGTCTCTGAGGTTGCTGGGTGGCTATGGAAAGGGACATTTACATTCACAGGCAGGACAGAGTGTTTCTGCTGACTGGCCACACTAAGACCTTTCTCTGTGTTCCTCCCCATAGACCTCCAAGAAGCTGGTGAACTCAGTGGTAGACTGTGCTGACGATGCCCTTGCTGGCCTGGTGGCCTGCAACCCCCACCTGCAGCTCCTACAGGGCCACCGGGTGGCTCTCCGCTCTGATCTGGACAGCCTCAAGGGCCGGGTGGCACTGCTGTCAGGTGGAGGTTCTGGCCATGAGCCTGCCCATGCTGGTGAGTGCCTTTGGGTGGGGGTGCGGGGTAAAAGGTACTGAATGAAAAGACTGGGGCTCCTGAAGACTCTCAACACTACCTGGAGGTACCAGCCAGCCAAAGTGTAGGCTAGAGTTAGGAATAGACCTGGTTCTCCCCCTGCTATAATCTGGGACTCATTATAGCCACTGAGTCTCTGGATCTTGGTTTATACGGCTCTAGAGGTAGAAGTGGGACCAGAGGAGTTGCCCACATGAAGATCTGGGGGACTTTAGCATAAGTACATACACAGGAGGACTAAGCCAGTCATAAACCCCATGCACACAGCCCCCAACCAGCATCATCACCTCTTCCTTCCTCATCTCCAGGTTTCATCGGGAAAGGCATGCTGACAGGGGTTGTTGCTGGAGCCGTGTTTGCCTCCCCAGCTGTGGGCAGTATCCTGGCAGCTATCAGAGCTGTGGCCCAGGCAGGCACAGGTCAGGCCAGCATGTGGGAGGGGAGCTGGAGGGAGGGCACACTGGGAGTGGTTGAAGGCAAGCACTGACAGGGCTCTACTGGTGACTCCCCACAGCGGGGACCCTCCTCATCGTTAAGAACTACACTGGGGACCGCCTCAACTTCGGTTTGGCTCGAGAACAGGCCCAGGCTGAGGGCATCCCTGTGGAGATGGTGGTCATTGGAGATGACAGTGCCTTCACTGTCCTGAAGAAGACAGGCCGGCGGGGCCTCTGCGGCACAGTGCTTATCCACAAAGTGAGCCTCCCTTGCTGCCCCAGACCCGAGGCTGGTTCAGATTCTCCCTAGGAGAACCCAGTAGTGACCTTTCCAGCGACTCCTTCACCCAGACCCAGCAAGGGCCCACCATCCCCTCAAGCCCCAAATACAGCATTCTCCCAGACTCACCTCCTTTCCTCTCCTCTCCCAAGCCCATGCCCAGTCAGTTGCCCTGTGCAGGCACTTATCCCTCCATAACAGGATCCTCCTCGCATGCTGCCTTCTTGCCTTGCCATGGTGCAAGGCACATCTGTAGCAGCCACCCACCACTGAGCTCCCCTCTCTGCCAGATGCCCTCCTGTCTGGCCAGTGTGCTCTTCCTGTCATGATACTGCTGCTGCTTTTATTTTTTTTTGGGGGGGGGTCCGGTCATGGGCCTGAACTCTGGGCCTGGACACTGTCCCTCAGCTCTTCAGCTCAAGGCTAGCGCTCTACCACTTGAGCCACAGCGCCACTTCCGGCTTTTTTCCTTTTTGCTTATGTGGTGCTGGGGAATCGAACCCAGGGCCTCATGCATACAAAGCAAGAGCTCTTACCACTGAGCCACCTTCCCAGCCCTGCTGCTGCTTTTAAAAGTATACATCTACCTATACTAAAGAGGCTAAGGCAGGAGGATCATGAGTTCAAGCTAATTTGAACTACATAGCTAGATCCTGTCCCAAAAATTAAAAAACATATGTGTGGGAGGGTGTGTTTATAGAGAAGGCACACTGGAGTGGGTTGTACATACCCCTGCCTTGTGAAGTCAGGTTGGGCCAGGTGCCCACCATACTTTTTTTTTTGTCGGTCGTGGGGCTTGAACTCTGGGCCTAGGCACTATCCCTGAGCTCTTCAGCTCAAGGCTCTACCATTTGAACCACAGTGCCACTTCTGGTTTTCTGGCAGTTACCTTGAGATAGGAATCTCATGGACTTTCCTTTCCCAGGCTGGCTTTGAACTTTGATCCTCAGATCTCAGCCTCCTGAGTAGCTAAGATTACAGGTGTGAACCACCAGTGCCCAGTTCTACTACATTCTTGATCCACCTAGCTTCACCTCCCATGAATCCCAACTTTCTCTTCTGTTCCATTAGCACCAGTCCCTGTGCCCCCTGGGCCAGGGCTTTTCTCTTCGGCTTTGCTTATGTCTTGTATATTGCCTAGAAAATCTTTCCCTTAGCCAGCTACTTGTGGCCTGGCTAACTCCTGCCATTCCGTAGAAGCCCTACTCTGATGTCTCCCAGTGAGGCTCTTCCTAATTGCCCCAAGGCCCCAAGCTGGCTGGAATTCTCCCAGTGTTCCCTCAGGTTCCTGCTGTGGCCTCTGTGCTACTAGTACTTACCATGACATTCATTTTCAATGTGGTCTATCTGCTTTCCCTCCCAAATTGTTGAGTTCCTTGAAGGCAGGGCCATGGCTCAGCCATCTATTTTTCTTTTAGCACATACTAGGTACTGTATCAAAGTTGAATGGGCTGGTAAGTGGGTGGATGAATGGATAGATGAACAGTAAAGTGAACTAGAGTATGTATGTATGTACGTATGTATGTATGTATGCATGTATGTGTATATATTCTAGAAAGAATTCTAGACAGAATTCAGGAAACTTAGCTGGGCGCCGGTGGCTCAGCCTATAATCCTAGCTACTAAGGAAGCAGAGATCAGGATCACGGTTCAAAGCCAGCTCAGGCAAGAAAGTCCTTGAGACTCTTACCTCCAATAAAGCACCAGAAAACCGGAAGTGGTGCTATGGCTCAAGCAGTAGAGCGCTCCCCTTGAGCTGAAGAGTGCAGGGACAGCGCCCAAGCCCAGAGTTTAAGCCCCATGACCGACAAAAAAAAGAAAGAAATCAGGAAAGTGCCCACCAACATTTTGTGTGACATTGGACAAGTCACATCTGGGATAGTTTCCCTATTTGTAAAGTCCCTTCCAATTCCAATACATTAGAATCAGGTGGTGAAGTAGTTAGGACATTGACTCCAGGACCTTATGTATGCTAGGCAAACGCTCTACCACTAAGCCACATTTCCAGTTCCAGACTGGAATTCTTGAAGGCTGCTAGTAAGTACATTGTGAATAAGAAGAGGACACCTTTCTGTCCTGACTGTGATGGGCCAGGTTGAGTGGTGATCCTGAAATTCTCCCTTCCCAACAAGAAATTCCTTGGCCCGCCTTCCTTGACCCTCAATGGTTCAATGACTCCTTCTCTTGGGGACTTCTCTGTGTGGCTGCAGGTGGCAGGTGCCCTTGCTGAGGCAGGTATGGGACTGGAGGAGATCACAAAGCGGGTGAGCGTGGTGGCCAAGGCCATGGGTGAGTGCCAGTCAATGGATGGGGGCTAGGACAAACCCAGGGGCTAGCAGCAGAGTCCTGCCTACTGTATGGGGGAAGTGGGAAGGGCTTCCCTAGGGGCTCGGGGAAGGTATCCTTGGGGGGGATGCCCCAGGACCTAGTGACTAGATTCCAGAACCTGGTTTTTCCTCTCATCACTGAGATGAAGAGTCTAGCAGATTTACTCAGAGAAGAGGATGCCTGAGACCAGGGCTTCTGAGGTTCATCCTGATGCTGGGTACTAAGAACAAAGAAGCCATCCCATTTCTCCTTTATCCCAGGCACCCTGGGGGTGAGCTTATCCTCCTGCAGCGTCCCAGGCTCCAAACCCACCTTTGAGCTCGCAGAGGACGAGGTGGAGCTGGGCTTAGGTAAGTCTGTGGGCACTCTGGTCCCAGCATCGTGCTCCTCTGCTTTGGGTATTGCCAACCTCTAGTTTCTGGAGCCACCTACCCATAGGTTCTCTCTGCTGGTCTGGAGTTGTTCTGTAGGTGGTCTGAAGCCCCTAAGTAGGCATTTGAGGCGAGGATGGTCCTGATTGATTTTTACCTGCTTTGCTGTCCACATCCAGGGCTCTGGCTACATGGATCTCTGTGTACCACCCACCTCACCTTTACTCATACCATTCCAGGCCCTACAACACGTGCCCAGATGTAGCTGTTTTGGCAAAGGCCATTAAAGGCCACCCATGCTGTAACTTCAAGGCTTTCCCCCTTCCTGTCACTCCCCCTCCTTCTTTCTTGTCAGTACTAGGGCTTGAATTCAGGTTCTAAGCACTGTCCCTGACATTTTTCATTCAAGGCTAGTGCTCAACCACCTCTTCTTCCAGCTTTTTGCTGCTTAATTGGAGCTAAAAGTCTCATGGACTTTACTACCTGGTCTGGCTTCAAACCACAACTTCAGATCTCAGCCTTCTGAGTAGCTAGAATTGCAGGTGTGAGCTACCATGTTTCTAAAATCATGCCCATTAGCATTCCAGGCCTTGCTGTGACTGCCTCTAGTTAAAGCCACTTCAGTTCCTGGCAATCTTCACCACCATGCTATGAACTCCCAGAGAATAGAGACTATGTTATTCATTATTCTGTCCCTCATCACCCATATTCACATTGCCTGGCTTAGTGCCAAGTACCTGGTTAGCCCATGACAGAAAAGCTCCAGACCCTGAGCTGGTAAGCAGTGACTGCATCTCTCCACAGGAATCCATGGGGAAGCTGGTGTGCGCCGGATAAAGGTAGGTGGACTCCCTGCCCAGCTTGGCCCAAGGCCAAGGCCTCCCAACGCAGCTCACCCCTGACTCACTTTGACAGATGGCACCTGCTGATGAGATTGTCACACTCATACTCAACCACATGACAGATACCTCCAGTGCATCCCACGTGTCAGTGCCACCAGGTGAGTAGCCACTATCCCCCTCTCTCAGCCTATTGTATCCCTCTGGATAGAGAGCACCCAAACATCTCCCATCTATCTACAGGATCCTCTGTGGTGCTAATGGTTAACAACCTGGGTGGCCTGTCTTTCCTGGAGCTGGGCATCATAGCTGATGCTGCTGTGCGCGCTCTGGGTGAGTCCATCCTGGGAGGGGACCCTCCAGCCCTTTACAACTAGACGTAAGAAAGGCAGCTAAGGGGGTAGGGAAGGTGGCTCCGTGGTCGAGTGCTTGTCTTGCATGCATGAGGCCCTGGGTTTGATTCCTCAGCACCACATAAGCAGAAAAAGCCGGAAATGGCTCAAGTGGTAGAATGCTAGGCTTGAGCTGAAGAGCTGAGGGACAGAGATCAAGCCCCAGGACTGACCAAAAAAAAAAAAAGGCAGCTAAAGTGGGGTCTCATGATGGATCAGAACATGTGCTGTGCACTCACACAGGCTTGAGTTAAATCACTGCTTTTGCCACTTAATTGCTGTTTTGTTGTCTATATTGGGAGTAATTATAGTACCTACTTTATCAGGTGGTTGGGATTCAATGAGATTAAATATACACAAGACATCTGAGACCTATAATTACTTACCTGTCCCTCAAGAGGGGACCCCTCCAGGGAATGTGGTGATTTGAGCTAGCACTGAAGGATATACTAAAGGAATCAGACCATCTCCCTACTGACCTCAGCCTCAGCCTCCAGGGCCCTTGTACTTCTATTATTCTGTTTGCATGGGATGCTATGGGATAGGGGTTGGGGAAGAGTGCCCATCCCTCTTCCACAGACTCCCCTGCTTGATATTACAGAGGGCCGTGGGGTCAAGGTAGCCCGGGCCCTGGTGGGCACCTTCATGTCCGCACTGGAGATGCCTGGTGTTTCTCTCACACTCCTGCTGGTGGATGAGCCCCTCCTGAAACTGATAGGTGAGACGTGAGTCATCCACACCACAAGGCTCCTTGTCACAGGCCCCATCAGGCCTGACCATGGCAACCAGGTTCTTGACCTGAGATGATGCCCCTTCTGGCTTCCTTAGCCCATCTCCAGCCTTCTCTTGACTGAAGGACCCTTCTTACATCTTCCAGATCCTTCCCTGGGGACACTCCCCACAATCCCTTTCATGCAGTAGATAATCGGGTCCTACTTGTTGAGGTGAACTCCCTTCCCTGGCTAGCCAGCCATGTCTGAGAGAGTATCTGTGACACCTATGTCTAGATGCTGAAACCAATGCAGCAGCCTGGCCTAATGTGGCCAAGATCTCCGTGACGGGGCGGAAGAGGAGCCGGGCAGCACCCATTGAGCCCCAGGAGGCCCCTGATTCCACTGGGGCAAAAGGTACCAGGCCCTGGTATTGCGGGAGGGGCAGGAAATCCTCAGTGGATTAGAGCTTTGGCTTGACCTCCATTGGGTATGGAGGTGAGCCATGGAGTATCTGGGAGCTTTGGCATCCATATACCTATCACACCAGTCGAGTGCAGCTGTGAGAAGGGCCAGAAAGACCCCTGCCCACATCCTGCTTTTCTAGGCGTAGCCTCAAAGCAGATGGAGCTTGTGTTGGAGCGAGTGTGTACCACCCTCCTGGGCCTGGAAGAACACCTGAATGCCCTGGACCGGGCTGCTGGTGATGGGGACTGTGGCACCACCCACAGTCGAGCTGCCAAAGGTTGGTGTCTGGACCCCTGGAGTTCCAGAAGGGGCTAGGATGAAACAGTTTTAGATTTGGGAATTTCATGGAATTATTTCCACAATATTTAGGGTGTTGCTATAGGGCCACCCCCTCTTCCTTTGCTAAGTGAGATCAATCACAGAACCCTTTCACCAGCTTAGCTAAAAGACATGTGCTTTTCACACTACATGTGAGAGAGATCTGAGAAGAAAATAGAATCTTCCACAGTGGACTATAATTTATGATCATCATTTTTCTCAGCTGGCCCATCCCAATGAAAAGCTCTTAATTGTCCAGAGCTGTTCATTCAAGACAAATTTATTTACTGACCATCTAAGCCAGACATTCATCTCTGTGGTTACAGAGTGAGCAAAACAACTGCCTTAGTGAATATGATTGATCAGTAAACCACATAGGATGTCAGTGGAAATGAAGCAGAATACCTTTGATGTCTGCTATTGCTCTCTACTTATAGCTATCCAGGGATGGCTAAAGGAGTGCCCTCCTCCTGCCAGCCCTGCCCAGCTCCTCTCCAAGTTATCTGTTCTGCTGCTAGAGAAGATGGGAGGCTCGTCGGGGGCGGTAAGTGCCAACAGCCTCCAGGGAGGAAGGGCTGACAGGGAGACTTGTCAGTTTGGCTGAAGCCCAGGCCAGCTCCTTGTACAAGCTCAGTTTTCTGGCCCTCTGCCTCTCAGCTCTATGGCCTGTTCCTGACCGCAGCTGCTCAGCCCCTTAAGACCAAGACTGACCTCCCAGCTTGGTCAGCTGCCATGGATGCCGGCCTGGAGGCCATGCAGAAGTAAGCCAGAGCCCTGAGCCTTAGAGGGGGGTGTGCTGAGAGAGGTGGCTGGTGGATCTCATCTGTTCCCACATGTAGAGTCACCCCTTACACTGAGCCTTGTTTACTGTCTTCCTCTGGCAGGTATGGAAAGGCTGCACCAGGGGACAGAACTATGGTGTGTATTCAGGCTGTGGCTGTCCCTTTCTCCTTTTGAGCCTGCAATCACTTGAAGGCCACTCTCAGAGGGAGGGCCTCTCCTCAACCACTCTTTCCCTCGCCCTGTCTAGCTGGATTCTCTATGGGCAGCAGGACAGGAGCTCCAAGCTTGGAAGAGCCCAGGGGCTGATCTCCTCCCAGTTCTGACCAAAGCAGTCAAGGTGAGTAGGGATAGCCTGGCCACCCAGGCAGATAGCTTAGAGCCAGCAGGCTCCCATCTCCATGTAACCATGAGCAAGTTAATGGTCTTCCTGCACCTCCCTTTTGTCTATAAAATAGATGTAAGGGCTTGTCTCAGCAGTGGTCATGCAGCTCAGGAGACACCTTGAGCCCAGCAGCGTGCTGAGACATAGCAGCAGCTCAGTAAATGTCTCTTTCCCTGCTACAAGCAGCTGAGAGGTGATTTTCCACTCAGTGATGGTACAAAGGGGTGCTTGCAGGGTGAGGAAAGGGGGTTTAGGTTCAGACCACGTGGCATGCAGCCTGGTGGCCTGTCTTTGAGACTTTGCCTACATTACCTCAGAGTGCAGAAGCAGCAGCGGAGGCTACTAAGAACATGGAAGCTGGAGCTGGGAGAGCCAGTTACATCAGCTCGGCAAAGCTGGACCAGCCAGACCCTGGGGCAGTGGCTGCAGCTGCTATTCTCCGAGCCATCTTGGAGGTCTTACAGAATCGGGCAGCATGACTGCCTCCCTCAGTCTCAGCCCTCTCTCAATGATGTGCAAAGGTGTCTGTTATCACCTCCTCTGCCTCCCAATGGTCACCTTCCCCCTCTCTCCCTCTCTTGTCCCTGGGCCTATCCTCTGAGTCCAGCAGGAAATCCTCAAAAGTTCAGAACTGGTTCCCACAGGCAGCACTGGACTGGCCTGGGCCACTTGCCTCCCAGCACTGTCTTCTCTTTCCTCAGGGAGGGTGGAGTTCTAGGTCCCACCCAGCTCCAGCCAGCACTGGGCTTCAGTGATAAGACATTTCCCCTGAAGACTCCAACCCTCTCTCTCTGCAAGGCCTTCTGTACCTCAACCTAAGTGAGCATGGAAGGAAAGCTAATAAAATGTATTGAAGCCATAAAATTGCTGCTGCTCTGTGGAAACCTTTGCCCTGGCTCTGGGGATCAAGACCCAATCCTACCAGGTAGCTCCTCACCTGCATCTGAGCAGGCTCTGCTCAGCAAGGTTGGTTCACTGAACCCCTGTCCCTATCTTTCCAGACTTACACGCTATCAGGTACATGTGGGAATGCTAGAAAAGCTGCTCAGCACCAGAAGGAAAAGAAATCCCCACCTTCCAAAACAGCTTAGATCAGAACGAGCCACATAAGCCCCCAGGTCTCTTTCTAGAAATCACTGACAGCCCTGGGCAAACAGGAGGGGCCGCCTAGTAGAAACACCCAGCACACACCTGTCATGTCCTCAGCACAGAAATAGTTCAAGGCACAGACATAGTTCACTTGGAATCTAGTGTTTCTTTAAACCAGCTACAAGAGTTCAGGCCCCTATGTAGCCTCCTGAGTTTTGTCAGTCAGCTTGATAACCATCTCTCAGGCATAGGAAAGGATTCAGATAAGCTGACGAAGGTCAGGACCAGTGGTCAGATTGCCCATCACTGGTGTCAGCATCTTTTCTCCTTGTGGGTGACCACATGAATCATAGCTGGTCACATTTGGAAAGTTACCCTCACCACCTCTTTTGTCCAAATTTGGCTGTGGGCTCTGTGGGCTTCTCTGCCTAGGATTTATTGTTACTCTTTTACTTTTTAGTGCCCATACTGAGGCTTGAACTCAGAAGGAACCTGGATGCTGTCCCTTGCTTTTTTACTCAAGGCTGGTACTCTACCACTTGAGCCACAGCTCCATTCCTTGCTTTTTGCTGTTTAACTAGTAATACAAATCTCATAGACTTTTCCTGCCTAGGCTGACTTCAAAGTGTTATCTTCAGATCTCAGTCTCCTGAGTAGCTAGGATCGTGGGCATGAGACAGTGGCACCAGGCTCTTCCCACAGTTTCTTGTCCATCAACTTCACCGCAGGTCTCTGATGACAAACATAGTTGTCCAAAAGCAGATATGTGTCCAAAAGCAGACGGGCTTCAGAGTGGCCAGAGATCCAAACTGGCTGGGTGATCTAAAGCCAGTCACTTGTCCTTTTTGAATCTTGTCTAGATTATAAAACATTTCTTTCCCCGTGAGATGAGCAAATGCCCCCAAAGTCAATAACCATTAAGGACACCCCGCATACATGAATCACCTGCAGTTCCATGAAGACAATTGTGCATTCTTACAGTGCCCTCTACTTTGCTTTTACAAGTGGCCCCAGCACTCATTTAACCACTGTCATTTCATCCCAGGCTTTTGTTCTGCTTTGTGTCCTACTAAAATTTTGTGCTGAAATCTCCAACCCCAACATTGATGGTATTAGAAGGTGCGGCCTTCGGGAGATGCTGGGACAAAAGGGATTAGCACTGACACATGAAACCAGTAGCCTCATTTAGGAGAGGCCCAAGTGTGTGTCTGGTACTCCGCACCATGGGAGGTGACAGGACACAGTCTGAGGAAGCTGTCCTCATCAGACACATCTGCCCATACCTGCATCCTAGACTTGGAGGCTCTAGAGCTATGGGGGAAGTAAAGGTTTACGGTTGAAGTCATCTAACCCAAACAGACCAAGTCAACTCTGATTCTTAAAAACATGTTTAATGAAAATCAAGTGAAATGCCCACTCACATGTTAACAAGGGGCACTGGTCACAGACATGTCAGTCATTCAACTGAATGAATCAGGAAGTCCAGCCCAGTCCTCTTGCTACACTCTGGCAGCTGGAGATGGTGCAGTTAGCTGGGTCACTATCTGCCAGGGAGTGCTCATCTCTAACCCTAGGTTATGTCCCAGCTATCTGCTAAGCACAGGAGCCTGGAATCAGGGACCTGGCAGTGCTTATTTGGAGAAGGCAGGAAGAGCCACAAGGCAGCACTTAGGAAAGAATTGAGAAGCAAGAAGTTTCTCCCAAGTTTCTCCCTGGGAGAAGAGCAAAGCTGGTGTTCTGCAACAGCCGGGGAAGCAGGGTTTGGCCAGCCAAGCAGCTGTCATAGTGCAGGCAAAGCAGCCTACTTCTCAGCAAGAAAAGTCTCTGAAGGTGGAAGCAACTCCCAGGACTGCTGGGAACAATGCTTTGCAACAATGACCTTGGCTTTCATGGTAGACTGGAGAGGGAAGATAGGTTGCACCTGGCCAGGGGCTGGCAGGAAGACCCACACACAGCAAGAGGTAAGAAAGGAAGGCCTCAGAAACCACTGCTACTCATCTCTTGGGACTCAGGGGACAGATTATTCTTGGAGAGCAAGTTACCATGGCTGCCTGACAGCAACAGGCATGTAAGTCACGGGGAGAGGGCAGGATCCAGGCCGCAGCTGAAGCAGCAGCTAGAAGAGGTAGAGCCACACAGTCACACACATACCATCTCAGAACACTTGGCCCTCGGCTTCTCTGCTCTACTGCCAACAATATCCTTCCCCTTCAGTGAGTTACCTGAGTCCTCTGCCCACCTGCACACCTAGGTAAGAGGCAGGCAGAGGGGCAGAGCAGAGGAAATGCAATGCGCTCCTCCAAGGGGAAAGTTGTCTCCCTCTTACCATGTGTTAAAGCATGGACTGCACTCGAGGGAGCTTTTCTGAGCTGGCAGGATTTTTCTCCCATGTCCCCACTAAGACTCTTAGGGGAGATTAGCCCAACCCCTGCAGACCAAGCAGACCCCCACATGAGTGACCAGGGCAAGGAAGATCCTCAACAAATGCAGGATCCGATAAGTCAATGCGGAGAAGCCAAAGCCACCAGGAACTGCAGGTGGGCAGGAAGTGGCTGGAGAGAGCAGGCTGCCACCGAGGTAAGGAGAAGTTGAGGCCAGGAGAAGCCCAAGTACAGCCGTTTCTGGGGAGGACAGACTGCACCGCTGACTTCCCGTAGCCCCTTCCTGCTTCACTCCCCATTATGCAACAGGGGCTGAAAGAAGGCAGACGCACAGAGGTTAAGACATGATGTCAAAATGCCTCCTGACCTGCAGGAGTCACACCAGGCCTGAGCTGCTCAGATAGATCCCCATCCTGCAGGTGATCTCCTGCCAAGCCACCAACCAAATTGGTCAAGGAAGCCCCAACGTCCCAGAGCCTGGCACACACTCCATCTCCTTACATCTGAGAGATGTCTAAGTGGCTAAGGACAGGCACAACCTGCTCTCAAGTAGTCACCAAGCACTAGTCCCACACCAAAGCTGCAGTGCAGAAGTACCACACCCCTCACTCTGCTCAAGTCCTTTCTTGGCGAAGGGGAGGCTTCGTGTTCTCTCATGAAAATTGGGAAGGAAAGTTCGGGGAGCCCTATTTGCTCCATTTTCTGGGATGAGTCACTCATACCAGTGTCTCTGCAGGCCCCCCCTAATTTCACCATCAAGCTGTTTGCTTTCCCATCAGACTACATGATCAGTCTTCTTGGCAAGGCTCAAGTCTTTCTTGGGTAGTCTTCCTCTAGATCTGGCCTGCCCCACGCTGGAATGGGTGACATTCAGCCATACCTGTCTGTCAGTCAGGATCCCCGGCTCGGGACGTTTCCATGATGAAGCCAGAAGAACATAGAGAACCAGAAGCCCAAAGGCCACCACCAGCAGCCCGGTGGTGTTAGCAAAGACAGCCTCACTGGGCAGGCTGGAATATGGCCGAGTGACGTTCTTCCTGAACATGACAGAAACAACAATGTGGGCCCTTGAGAAGCTTTTCACCTGTTTCTGTCCAGTGGGAGACTCAATGCCACTAAGAACAGCTGCATACCATCCACTCCCCACCCCCTTCCATTAGATAAAACCCTGAATTCCCATAGCTCCCACACAGTCCTTATCCAAGTGCCTACCTTGCCCAGTCAAAGTATACTTTTGCTCTGCTAATCACTTCTTACTATCTTAAAAAGGAGAAAAAAAAATCTTCCTGGAACCACTGGGCACCTGGAATCTTAGAATACTTCCCAAGCCTCTGCTGCAGTAACAGGCAGGGGCTGCCCTGATACTTTTTACTCACAAGGAAACAGAAGCTGTAATTTTAACTTGTGCCAAATGGCACAACAAAGATCCATAGGCTGCACCTTCTGAAGAACATACTGCAGCACCCCCACCTGCCTCAGAATTAGAGATGCCCGTGCACTCACAAACTGAAGAAAAGCTTCTCGTTAATGCCGGAAATGACAGATGCGATGGACAGAGAGAGGATGGAGGCTCCAAAGAAGACGTGGATGGGTTTCAGGAAGCTGCGCAGCCACAACGACGCCCAGGGCAGGAGGAAGACAGCAAAGCCCAGGAACCACTGTGGACATAAGAGAGGAAGCCCTGGACGGTGACCAAAGGTGGGCCAGGTCACTGCCCCACCAGTACCTCCTGTCTCATGCTGGCCCTTCTGTCCCAACTGCCACTCCCACCAGAGGTTCCCCACTGCAGCTGACCCTCACTGTGGTCTGTCCATTGCTATTACACAAGAAATGAGAACAGTACATGAAGGTCTTGGCTATAATCCCACCTCCCAGCAACCCAGCCATCCACTTGTCTCTTGCTTCCCTCACTCAGAATCTCTCTAGTACAGGACTAATGTGAGAAACCATTTGTAGAATTCTTTTTTTTTTTTTTTTTGTCGGTTGTGGGGCCTGAACTCTGGGCCTGGGCACTATCCTCCAGCCCTTCAGCTGTAGACCAGCGCTCTACCACTTGAACCACAGCGCCACTTCCAGTTTCCTGAGTGATTTATTGGAGGTAAGAGTCTCACGACTTTCCTGCCTGAGATCCTCAGATCTCAGCCTCCTGCGTAGCTAGGATTACAAGTGTGAGCCACTGGCGCCCAGCCCTATGAGACTCTTCAACTAATTACCAGAAAATTGGAAGTGGCACTGTGGCTCAAGTGGTAGAGCGCTTGGCTTGAGCTGAAGAATTCAAGGACAGTGCCCTCACAGAAAGTTTGCTGACCTTGCCCCCAGAGGATCTGTGAAGTTGCCCTTCTGAGATCAATACAGATCTGAGATCTCTACTCTTCCCATTTCATCCCCAATGACAGCTGAGCTTCAGGCCATCCCAACTCTCCCAACCCCATTAGCCCTAAACGCAACACTGGCAAAGGAGAGGGCAAGTGCTGCCCGCCAGACCCAGGCCCTGCCACACCCTGCACACTTCTCACTCACCAGCTCCGTAGAGCACCACCAGGCCAGACACCATGAGCACAGGGTGCCAGTTGAACATGTGCAAGCTGCCATCCCAGGCAAAGCCACCACGCCAGTACTGCATCCAATAGGTGGTGAAGAGGATGCACATGGAGCCCAGGGAGCCCAGCACCAGGCAGGACAGGTAAAAGCATCCCGAAGCCATTCTGATCAGAACTCCTACAAGAGTCAGAAGTCATAGGTCACCACTGGCTGGGGGTGCAAGCTACAATGGCTAAAGGAAATAGTACTGATCTCCCTCTTGGCCCCTGAGACAGAATCTTCTTGTTTCTGTTTCGTGCCAGCAGCCTGTATACCACTCCCAAGAGGCCTCAGTGGCACATGGGGGGGGCGGGGTTTGAAATGAGTAAGGCCCCAGCCCAGCAACTGGCAGTGAGCAGCAAGGGTGGGGCTATGACTGGATGACAAGGCCCAAGCCTGGAACACTGGGATTCATTTCCCTGCACAGAATCAGAAGGTAAAAAAAAAACTCCCCTAACCCTGATCCAAGAAAGAAAAGAACAAAAATGTAGGCTACATCATAACCATCCAGGTCCCTGGGTTCTAGCACAAGAATGGCAAAACCACCATCAGAAAGGAGTAAGCAGGCAGAATTGTCCCAGAGAATTGTGGAATGTAGAAGATTTGTATCCTGTATGTTTTGAGCATCGTGCTGGTAATTGATAAGTTTCAAATTTCAGAGCATGAGATTGTTGGTTAGGGATGCTCTACCTGCATTGTCAGACTCTCTGGGAAGAAATCCTATGGGACACCATCTCTACAGACAAGTCTTTTGGGCCAAAGCCCATTAGCAGAAGCCACACACTCGACTCCTTGAAGGGAGTGACACAGCTCAGTGGTCTCCAAGCCTGAGACTTCTGCTTCTTTTCTCTGAGGGGAAAGTCCAGAAGAGAAAAGAGGAAGCAAGAACTCAAGATCTAGAGAGTAAGAGGTTTATTTTGAGATTTCCATGAGAAACCCAGAAACCAATTCTGGTTTCAGGCCTAGTGATCGCTTATACACTCAAGCCAGGCCTGTGGGGTGGGGAGTGAAGCTTGGTAATAGGCAGCTTTCTTCCTATGTGCAGGTCATGGGTTAAGATTCCCAGAGCAGGTGGCGAGGGTGGCAGGCGGGTGGGTAGGGGGAGGCACAAGACTGACCCTGCTTCCAGTCAACGTGGGACGGTATGGGCCCAACCTCAAGGCAGTTACCCTGTCCTATGGGCTCACAGCAAGAGAACAATATGACTTCCTGAAATGATCAGGTCCCTTCCTCTGAACCAGCTACCAGAAGAAATGGGTGGTCACTCCCATGGGACAATACCTAATTCCTCACCTTTAGACCCAGATCACAGAAAGGTGGCCTGGGCTCTGATTCTCACAAACTGGGTATAACAGCTGCAGGACTTGTTCTCATCTGAAAGAAAGACAAAGATTTTGAAGATCAGCTATGAGCACTGGAACCTTCTACACCATCCTGTTACTCCTTTTGACAACCTTGTGAGGGGTTTTATCCTCACTATCCCTCTTCATATACATGAGGAGACAAAGGTTCAGAATGATTAAGAAACTAATATCAGCTTCATTTAATGCAGAGGATTTTCTAACCTTTTGCCTGTTTGGATTTGAGGCCTGAAAACTGCACTTTTTCCTTGACCGCAGGTTGTCATATCAAGAGGAAAAAAAATGCTATGTAAGGATACCATGAAAGCAGCAACTCTTCTTTCTTATGCTGCCATATGATTTTATCCTAACTGCTAGGGAAAACTGAAAGCTACCTGGGCCTGGTGACACACACCTATAGTGCCAGCTATTTGGAAGCCTGAGGAAAGAGGATTGCTTGATCTAGGAATTCACAGTCAGCCAGACTAACACAGTGAAATTTTTGTCTAAAAAAAAATAAAATAAAAGCTGGGCGCTGGGGCTACTCAGGAGGCAGAGATCTGAGGATTGCAGTTCAAAGCCAGCCCAGGCAGGAAAGTCCGTGAGACTCTCATCTCCAAAATACCACCAGAAAACAGGAAGTGGTGCTGTGGCTCATGTGGTAGAGAGCTAGCTGTGAGCTGAAGTCCATGCCAGCTCTCCCTAAGCCAGATATCTAACAGACTAGCATTTGGTTCTTACAAGGTGATCTAAACAATCTTGGAGCAAGGAAGGGCTATGTATTAAGGGAGAAGAAAACAAGCTTCATTGAGGAAGGCTGGAAGGAGAAAGTCATGTAACCAGCTTCATGACTCAGCTGAGCTTAGAGATTTGTTAGCCCGCCTCAGAGTTGTCTCCTGCAAGGGCAAAGAAAGTTCCAATCACCAGGTGTTTGGCTAACACATCCTCCACTCCGCTAGTGAAGTGTTAAGTCAACATTAAGAAGCTCTTGGTCATCAAGAGGCTCCACTTAACTCAAATTATCTATTTCTACAATTTCTTTAACATTTGTAGAAAGACATACTATCATCTAAAAGGGATTGTATCCAAACCCCTAAGAAGTTGTGGAATAGTAAGATGTAGCACGCTCAGACCAAATGATGAGATTTTTGAGACAGAGAGCAGGAAGTCACATTACTTTGTCCACAGTACAGACAAGCCCTCCCTTCCTCTTCCCAAAATAGCAAAATCTAGGAGAAAGGAAGAACACAGTGAAAATTCCATGCAGATGCTGAGAATATGCTCTCCTCTGTTCTAAGAGTAGGTTGTGCTAGGACTTCAGTTTCTTCTTCTGCCCTCACTCTGCAGAGCCCCATTTTATCTGTCCCAACAATGTCATCAACCCTGCTGATGTACTTGTGCAAGAGCAGCCAGGGAAGGTATTGTAACAAATAAGCATGAATGTGTTCCAACAATACTTTATTTATGGACTCTGAAAGCCAACATTTTTACATGTCACATAGCCTTTTCATTTTCCCTCTCATTTTCTGGTGGGTCACATGTGGCCTGTAGGGAATAGTTGGTCATGTTGATCTTATTTAATACTTTCCTCAATTCCTTAACAACAAAAAAGGATTCTCCTAGGCTGAGCTAAACTAGCATCAGTCCCAGGATAAGAAATGGGTATTTCCTATTCAGCTCTTAGTCTTAGAAAAAGGCTCTCTATTCCAAATTCTTCTCAGTCCTCTTACAACTTAGAAGTTCAAACAGATAAAGGGATGAAAAATCAATTTGCTGCTACCCTTCATGGATGTATGATAAATTTTTTGGGATACTAAGAATCAAACTTAGGGTTCAGGTCTTAACCCTTACCTTACAGATCAAAACCACTCTAACACTGGGGCCCAAAGGAGAGTCACTCGGCCAACGCAAGTGGCAGAGCTGGTTACAGGTATCCAGGTCCACTCCTCCTCAGTTCCCAGGACTCCTTATTTCCAAAGATAGCTTCAGTAATGGCCGGACTCAGGAGTGAGTGGCCCAATCTTCCCAGCTCAAGAAGTAAAAAAGGCCTCCCTCACCTACGAGAGATGCCAGATCCCACCTTCGGCGGTGTCAGGTTGCAATCCAGGCATCCAGGGACACATCCCTTCACCCCCCTGCTGGGCGCGTGGTCCCAGATATTCGGGGGTTTAAAAAACAAGCGCCTTCCCAAACCGTCTGTGCCTTCCATCCACCAGCTGTGGAAGAAGGGCGCTGAGAACAGGTTCCTAACGGAGAAAACTGAGGTTGAGCGAGATCGGCAAAGCGCAAAGCGAGGTAGTAATAGCACTGGAAGCCAGGCTTTCTGACCTCCCAGCCCGGGTTCTTTCTCACCCCTAACCACAGTGGGACACAGGGGACTGAAGTCTCCGGCGCCGGGCGACGAGAGGCGGGCCACTCCGGGGTCTCTTACAAGAAGCACGTAGAATCCCGGGAACCTACATTCAGCTGGCTGCCACCCTCGGACAACGCCACCCCGGCTTTTATAGCCCGGCAGCACTTCCGGTGGCGCGCGCACGGCCTCTTGGGAAATGTAGTCCAGGGGCTTGGACGTGGCCGCTGGTAATGCGCCAAGGTGTCAGTCTCCGACCCCCGTTCGTTTGCTGCTGGCGCTCCCTCCCTAAGCCTAAGGTCAGGGCCCGAGAGCGCTAAGACGTGGGTGCCCTGTCCCTCACCATCCCGCGTCCCGAAAAGGTCAGGTTGAGCCGGGCGGGTCCAAGAAAACACGACCCAAACATGGCGGCGAGGCTGGCGGGAGAAGCAGGGAGGGAGCCTCCGCCATCTACTTCCGGAATTTAAAGAGGGCTTCCGGAAGCCTGGACCATATCTCCATGACAACCGACGTGGTTCCTTAGGGTGAGGGGTTTGAGAAGCGGTGGTGTGGACGCGAAGTCAGAATTTCTGATGCTGTTGCTTTTGGCTTGAGCTTGTTGTTGTTGTTGTTGTTTCCTGCCAAGACAGCACCATTTTAAGCGAGTCGGAAGGGTGAGATGGCAGGGAGCGGACAGTGAAGCGCGCTGCTTTTCCTCGTCTGTCACCGAGGCGGAGACGGTCCAGGTAGGGAGCGCTGCGGGCGGGCGTGTGGCGGACCCCGGCCGCCCCCGCCGCCACCGACCGGTGCGGACCTGCGGCGTGGTGGGACTGAGCCGGGGATCCCGGCGCCGCTCACTCGCCACTTGGCGGGGATGCCTTCAACTCTGCCTGACCCGGTGGCCTTGCCTCGACTCGGGATAATTCTCTTCCTACCTCGTTGCGAGGATTAAAGGTGGTTGTCTTGGGTACCAAGCTTATCCTGGTCTTGGGGACCGGAAGGGATAAACTATGATTGTTGTTTATGAGGGAGGAAACTCAGGTCGAGAGAAACCACAATGATAAACCCAGCAAGGTGGGACTTGTCCATCAAGTGAAGTGGACCCAGGGCTTTAACTTCTCCGTGCCTTTATGCAAAAGAGGAATTATATGTATTAAAATGGCTACTTATTGTCATAGCCCTAGCATCAATTAATAAGCATGGAGGGTTAATAAATTTGTAGCCAGGCGCCGGGTTCTACAGGCTCATGCTTGTAATCTTAACTACTCAGGAGGCTGAGATCTGAGGATCACAATTCGAATCTAGTTCATAAGATTCTTATTTCTACTTAGCCACCAAAAAGCTGTACATGGTAGAGCACTAGCCTTGAGCACAAAAGCTCAGAGCCAGAACCAGGATCTAACTTTCAGCCTCAGAATGGACACAGACACACACACACACACACACACACACACACACACACACACACAATTGTAAAACATTTTACAGATAATAGTTTAATTGCTGGAGCACTTCAGAGCAGTTTGATAGTTGTTTATGAATTGGATCTTGCTTCAGGGTCATAGGACACTCCAGAGTAATTAGTGAGCCTTGAAAATGTATGCAATCCTTTGCTAAAATAACTTTAAAGACTTTCAGAAGAGCATTGTGTCCTCTCTTATCCCACTTTTTTGTTTTTGTTTTTGTTTTCTGAGTCGGGTCAGTCGTGGGGCCTGTACTCTGGGCCTGGGCGCTGTCCCTCAGCTCTTCAGCTCAAGGCTAGCGCTCTACCACTTGAGCTGCAGCACCACTTCTGGCTTTTTTCTTTTTGCTTATGTGGTGCTGAGGAATCGAACCCAGGGCCTCATGCATGCAAGGCAAGTGCTCTACCACTGAGCCACCTTCCCAGCCCCTCTTATCCCACTTTTGCATGGGCATTTTCCCCATCTACTTATCAGTCTATGGGTTATGGAAGAGCAGTGTAGGCCAATAATTAAGATAGATTCCTGATCCAGGCTGCCAGGATCAAAATCCCAGCTCAGCTACTTACTACCAATAAGACCTTAGACAACTTATTTTACCTCTCCAGGCCTCAGTTTTCTCATCTGTAAAAAGGGAAAAGTAAGAATGTGCCTTTTACCTCATGAGGTTATTTCAAGCTTTAATATCAGTGTCTAACAGTCTCTGTCACACTGCAACTAATATATGAGTTTGCTGCTGTAATTATTATTACTACCACATGAATGGGTGCCCACCCTTTTCTATAGATTCTCTTAGTACATTTAGAATTTGAGTCCAGGTATAGAGAAAGGTTTGTGGGTGATGGTCCCTAGAAGAAATGACAAGTTGAGTTTTGGGGAGTTTGTTTTTGTTTGATTTTTGGAAACAGAAACACCATAGATCCTAGATTGATCTGAAACTCTGTATAGCCCAGGTTGGCCTTGAACTTGAAATCCTCTACCTCAGCCTCCTGAATGCTAGGATTGCAAATGTGGATTATTTTTTTGGTGCTGATACTAGGGCTTGAACCCAGGATCTAGGCACTGTCCCTTATTTTTCACTCAAGGCTGGTGCTCTCCTACTTGAGCCACAGCTCCACTTCCACTTCTGGCTTTTTGCTGGTTAATTGGAGATAAGAATATCATATCTGCCTGGGCTGGCTTCACACTAGGATCCTTAGATCTCAGCCTTCTGAATAGCTAGGAGCCACTGGCACCCGGCTTCAATAAATGTTCCTTAGTGGATTTCTAACTTTTCCTCATTTTGACCCCACAGGTACTGATCTAAAGCAAAGGAAATCACTCTGAGTTGGAAGCAAATGACACCTTTCCCTCAGTGCTAAGCAAAGAACCAGGAGCTATTTTCTGGGAAACTGTGGAATGTGCCCTTGGGAGCCCAAAAAAGCCGGAGTAAGATGCTGCAGACGAGTAACTACAGCCTGGTGCTCTCCCTGCAGTTCCTGCTGCTGTGCTATGATCTCTTCGTCAATTCCTTCTCAGAGCTACTCAGAATGGCAGCTGTCGTCCAGCTGGTGCTCTTCATGTGAGTTCTCAGGTGGGCCTAGAAAACTAAACCCACATAATTTGAAGGCCCTATCCATCATGGCTTATCATTTTAAAGTTACTAGTAAATGGGCAGGGGTGTAGCTCAATGGTAGAGCACTTGCCTAGCATCCATAAGACCTTGGGTTCCATCCCCAAGGATGGAATTTTAATTTTATTTTATAGTAAAGATGCTGTACAGAGAGGTTACAGTTACATTTCTTTTAAAGAGAGAGGCCAGGTGCCAGTGACTCACACCTATAATCCTAGTTACTTAGGAGATCTAAGAGTTGCAATTTAAAGCCAGCCCAGGCAGAAAAGTCTGTAAGTAAATTACCAAAAAGCTGGAAGTGGATATGAGGCTTAAGTGCTAGAATGCTATCCTTGAGCACAAAAACACAAGGATAGTGTCCAGGCCCTGTGTTCAAGCCCTAAGATTGGCACACAGACACATTAAAAAAAAAAAAAAAGCCTAGTGTTTGGGCTACAAATCAATGGGTGGTATTAGTTATTTGTCATTTGGGTCGTAGCCCTGCTGCTTGTGGAGACTTGGGGTGACTTTATCACAGGGAAAGGCAGACCCAGTAGTGTCCCTCAGGACTTAAGAGCCAGCTTGTGGATTCTCACATGGGCATCTGTTTGGCTGTACTTTGTTTTATATGTCCACAGCATTCAAGACATTGCAATCCTCTTCAACATCATCATCATTTTCCTCATGTTCTTCAACACCTTCGTCTTCCAGGCTGGCCTGGTCAACCTCCTATTCCATAAGTTCAAAGGGACCATCATCCTGACGACTGTGTACCTCGCCCTCAGCATCTCCCTTCATGTCTGGGTCATGGTAAGAGTGGAACTCTGGATTCTCAAGTGTGTGTGTGTGTTTGTTTGTTTGTTTGTTTGGGTCCGGTCATGGGGCCTGAACTCTGGGCCTGGGCGCTGTCCCTCAGCTCTTCAGCTCAAGGCTAGCGCTCTACCACTTGAGC